GGCAAATGTTTTGTTAGTGGGATGAATTGTAAAGGACCTGCCTAGTATGGGCCAGCAGGCCTCCTGCAGTGTTCCTCCTTTCTTATGTTCTTATGTTCTTATGTTTACATTCCTTTAGAACCCTTGCATAGAGTTCATCAGGGCCTGGGGATTTGTTAGGTTTTAATTTATCTATTTGCCTAAGGACCATGTCACTTGTGACCCTAATAGTGCACAGTTTATTATCGTCCTGTTCTACATAATTTATCATTACTGGAATATCGCTGGTATCCTCCTGTGTAAAAACTGAGAGGAAGTATGTGTTAAAAATTCTACACATTTCCTTATCACTGTCAGTGAGCTGACCCGAGGAACTTTTGAGTGGGCCTATCTTGTCCCTGATCTTACTTCTGTATACCTGAAAGAATCCTTTTGGGTTAGTCTTCGATTCTCTTGCAACTTTAACCTCATAATCTCTTTTTGCTTTTCTAATTCCCTTTTTTATTTCTCTCTTTAACTGAATATATCGATTTCTCAATTGCCCCTCTCCTCTTTTGATTTGCCTATATATCCCTCTCTTTTGACCAATCAGATATTTTAATCTATTGTTCATCCATTTAGGATCATTTTTGTTTGATCTGATTTCCCTATTTGGAACATAATTTGACTGAGCAGCTAGAACTATGCCCTGGAAAGCATCATATCGGCAACCATCACCACCTACCTGACCCTTAGTCAGGTCATTCCAGTTCAGCCCACCTAAGTAATTTTTCAGTCCTATGAAATCAGCCAAGGAAAGTTAGGGACGGAGACTTGATTGCCATTATTAGGGGAATTCCATGATATATTAAAACTGAGTGATTTGTGATCACTTTCCCCAAGCTCATCATTAACTCAAGATTATTAATTAGTGTTTCCCTACTGGCAAGAACCAAGTCAAGGAGGTTATTTCCCCTAGTTGGCTCTGTCACAAACTGTTTTAAAAAACAATCCTGATCGTATCAAGAAAGTCACCTGACTCTAAATTTCCTGTCAAATTGCTCCAGTCAATCTGTCTATAGTTGAAATCTCCCATTAGCACAACATTTTCGTATGTAGATGCCTTACGAATTTCGTCCCATAGAAGTTTACTGCACTCCCTATCAAGATTTGGGGCCCTGTAAATCACACCCAAAATTAGTTTTTCTCGGCCCTCGAGAAGCTGTAACCAAACAGATTCAGTGGCTGACGCTTCTAATTTAATATCTTGTCTAACACAACAATTTAAATTGTCTCTGACATACATCGCTACTCCCCACCTTTCCTGTTGACCCTGTCAGTGTGGAATAATTTATAGCCTTGTATGTGACATTCAGAGGGCATCTCTCTATCTTTCAGATTAAGCCAGGTCTCTGTTATAGCAATAATATCCATGTTTCCTGCACTTGCAATTAATCTTAGCTCATCTATCTTATTTCTTACACTCCTGCTATTAGTATAGTAAACCTTAAGGGAGCTAGTCCCTTGCTGCCCTCTGCTGTCCCCCTTTGTTTGCTGACCTGATTATTGTCTTTATTTATAACTTCATGCTGAATGCCTTTTATACATTTACTGTTTCCAACCAAGTGTTGCAACCTGCTTGTTTCCCACACACACCCATACCTCTATCTTCCTTCAGTTTAAAATCATAGGCATTTCACCAATGGCCTTCTCAATCGAGTCTGCAAGTGCTACCACCCCAGCCCCAGAGAGATGTACCCCATCCCTTGCATACATATCATGTTTGCCATAAAAGTTGTTCCAGTTGTCAATGAATGGGATTGCAAGTTCCTTGCAGTATCTGTCTAGCCAGCAATTTACACCAATTGCCCTAGACAACCATTCATTTCCTACTCCCCTTCTAGGCAAGATGCTACATATGATTGGGATCCCTCCCTTTAGACTTAATGAAATCTATAGCTGACCTGTACTTATCTAGCAGCTCTTCTCTCCTACCCTTCCCAATATCATTTCCACCAGCACTGAGACAGATAATGGGCTTGTTCCCATTACCTGACGTGATATTATCCAGCCTGTTGACAATGTCCCCAACACCAGCTCCAGGGAAGCACACTCTATCTCTCATCTTCTTATTCCTATTACAAAAAGCACGGTCAATATATCTTACTGAGAGTCACCAACCACAAGAATGCGCTTGCCTCCATTAGCAGGGGCAGTAGTACCCTTACCTTCACTGGCCACTGAAGTACATTCATCCTGAAGAACAGAGAAGCGATTTCCTACTTCAGATCTTCACTCTTAACTTTCCTTACTCTGATGCGCCTTCCATTACTGTGAACCACTCGCCACTTGTAGCAGGTGCTGGACTGCACCTCACTGCTGGTAGCCGTTGCTACCTCCCCAGCTACAGCCTCCTCACAGCGAGAGACAGACTGCACCTCACTGCTAGAAGCCTCATTCCCCACAACTCCAGCCACCTCACACTCTCTCCCAGACCCATTGAGGTGGACCTTCAGCCTCCTAATCTCCTCCTGGAGAACCAAGACCTCCTCCTTCAACTCTCCAACCTCAATTTTTAAAACACTGCAGGAGCAAGCCATGCTTTGTAACCGTCCACACTAATCCCCAAAGCAGCTCAGGGTCTGTGACCTCACGTGACGACTGACCACTGAGTACTGAGTACTGTATTAATTTAGTCATCCTACGCTGAATGTTTTCTAACGAATTTATGTCCATTTTGTAATACGGAGACCAGAACTGAGCTGCATAATCTAGGTGAGGCCTTACTAATGATGTATAAAGCTGCAGTATGACCTCTGGACTTCTGTTGCTTACACTTCTTGATATAAATCCCAGTAATCTATTTGCCTTATTACGTACGCTTAGGCATTGCTGTCTTGGTTTAAGGTTGCTGCTCACATAACCCCCAAGTCCTTTTCGCAATCTGTATGGCAAAGTTCTACATCATTTTAAACTTATAATTTTACTAGGGTTAGGGGCACTCCCAAGCTTCAAACCCTTTGGGCTTTTATCTACTTGAACTGCATCTCCCCATTTTTTCTGACCAAGAATAGAGTTTGTTTAAATCCCCCTGAAGTTCCATAACATTTTTAGGGTTTTGAATCAATTTCCTCCCTACCCTTTGTGTCATGGGGAAATTTTGCCATACCCACTAGAAATTTCCCCCTCATAAAGATCTTTGATATATATTTAAACAACAACGGGCCCAAGACTGATCCCCGTGGAACGGGCCCCTTTTTACAAAATCCCCACTCGGGAAATTAACCCCATTTTTTGGACACTCTCGCTTCCTGTCAGTGGCCATGACTCGATCCAAAGAGAGCACTTTTCCCCCCCAAAGGGCCCTAGCTGCCACTTTTTTTTTAAAGCTTGGGGGCGGGGCTCTATCAAAGCCCCTTTCTAAAAACTAAGTAAAAAAATATCAAATTCTTTTTTGTGGTCAACAGCCTCCAAAAACTTTATGAAGAAAAATTTAAAAAATTAGCAAAAACCCCCTCTTTTGGAAACCATGCTGAGTATCATTAATCAAGCTATGCTTTCAAGTTTGGCCTTTCTTAAACTCGCCAATTTCTTAGTAATTTGCCTACAATTGAGGTCAGGGTTATTGGGGGGGTAATTTTACGGTAAACGACTTGTCCCCCCGTTTTAAAATAGGGGAAATTTCATTAGCCACTTCCCCATATCAGGGCATACACCCTTTTTTTGAAGAGATAAATTTTAAAAAAATTTGTTAATGGTTCCCCCAGAGTTTTCCCTTTTTCAAATTCCCTTTAAAAACCCTTTAAAAAACCTCATCAGGGCCCCCGGGGACTTATTTTGCTTTAGTCCCGTCTATTGCTTACAACCATTTCACTAGTGACGTGTGTTACATAAATTTTTCTTCTTTTAGCCCACTGTAAAAATTAAATTACTGGAATATTGTTAGTGTCTTCCTGTGTAAAAACTGAGAGACACACAACAGCTAGACACAAAAAAGGTGGACCCCGGGAAGCACATCGGTAACACACTAAGTAGACAACCACAAGGTAGACACCTGGTAGATACAAGCCCTGGAGACATACACGGGTACTAAACCGGTAACACACACCAGACACCTGGTAGACACACACCAGACCGGGTAGAACACCTGTAACACCCCGGGGGGGGAACCCCCCGGGTACAAAACTTTGGAAAGCATTAGGTGACACACACCAGGTAGACACACCGGGTAGAACCCCGGGGAAACACACCGGGGTACACATACAGGGAAGACAGCCCTCGTAGAAAACCCAGGTAAACATGTAGACACACCAGGTAGACACACCTGGTCAACACACCAAGTAGACATACCAGGTAGGACACACCTGCGTAAACATACAGGTACAACACCTGGTCCACATACCAGGTAAGATACACCTTGGTGTCCACTACACAATGGCTGGTGTCAGGAAACACTGGATCACTTAGGATAATTATTAATTAAGGGCAGTTAGGGTTAATTACTGGCCATAAAGTTGAGTATTGATCGGCCACTCTGCCTTTAATGGCCTTTACCCTTGGTAACCCCTTAATTGCCCTCTTCTAACACCCCTTAACCCTTTGCTCGCGTGATAGTGGACTGCCAGAGTACATAACTTGTACCAGGCTTGTGTTGTTGACTACTACTGCCAGAGTATGTCACGTGTACCAGGCTTGTGTTGTTGACTACTACTGCCAGAGTACATAACTTGTACCAGGCTTGTGTTGTTGACTACTACTGCCAGAGTACATAACTTGTACCAGGCTTGTGCTGTTGACTACTACTGCCAGAGTACATCACTTGTACCAGGCTTGTGTTGTTGACTACTACTGCCAGAGTACATAAATTGTACCATGCTTGTGCTGTTGACTACTACTGCCAGAGTACATAACTTGTACCATGCTTGTGCTGTTGACTACTACTGCCAGAGTACATAACTTGTACCAGACTTGCATTGACTACTACTGCCAGTGTACATAACTTGTGTTAAGTAAATACTACTACCAGAGTACATAACTTGTATTCAGGAGGACTCACCACGCAGGAGGTTGGAGTCCTGGAGCCAGGAGAGTGAAGTCAGTTCATCGTCGGGGATTCGAACCCCCGACGATGGTAGTGTCAAGGCAGACGATGGTGGTAGTGACTCCAGGCTGGTAGTACAAGCATTGCTGGTAGTTGTACTGGTAGTAGTTGCACTGGTGGTGGTGGTACTGGTGGTACTGGTGGCGGTGGTAGTGGTGGTGGTGGTACTGGTGGTGGTGGTAGTGGTGGTGGTGGTAGTGGTAGTCTTTCCTACCAGCATCTCTACCAGTCTGCTGCTATCCTGGAAAATATTATATTATAACTATAATTATTATTAATTATAATATTAATAATACTTATAATAATAATTCTATACTAATAGTATTAAAAATAATAATATTGTTAGTCAGATGGCTGTTACATTATATATGCAGGGTAGCCATAGTGACGGTGTGTGCTAGATGTTACTTACTATACTCACTCACTCACATCATCACTCTCTTCTTCTCTTCACTCACACTTCTCTCTCACTTCTCTCTCTCTCTTTCTCTCACTCTCTCTCTCTCTTTCTCTCTCTCTCTCTCTCTCTCCCTCTCTCACACACTCTCTCTCTCACTCTCACTCTCACTCACTCTCTCTCTCTCTCTCTCACTCTCTCTCTCTCTCTTTAACAGTGTTTTACAAGGTTGGGTTAAAGTTCCTGACTTTATTTACAAGGTAACAGCTGTTACCTACATCAGCTCATTTGAAAGCCTTTTCATCATTATGAACATGCAAATATGCAAGAGGATGGGAAAAAAGGGGGGTTGAAAGGCCATCTGTGGGCCAGCAATTTCATTTGATCAACTGGCTTTATTTCGTTGATATCATTATGCTGTATGAACATGTTCCAGACTCGATTCATCTAGGAAATAAATGATCTCAGATGAAGTGATGTTCTGGAGAAGGTTACAGTCAGAGTGAAGTTGCTGCTGGCTGCCCGTCTTGTGTTGTTAGAACATAAGAAAGAAGGAACACTGCAGCAGGCCTACAGGCCCATGTGGGGCAGGTCCATGTCAACCCCCGGCCTTGACCAATGGCCCCCCCAGTCAGGTCACCTCCACTTAAGGAAGGAGCATGGCATCTGACCCAGCAGCACAAACTTGTCAGGGCCAATTCCACCCACTCATACCCTACATCATGTAATTTATTAACCTATTTTTATAAACTACACAACGTTTTTACGCCTCAATACTGTACTCGGGACTTTGTTCCACTCATCCACAACTCTATTACCAAACCAGTGCTTTCCTATATCCTTCCTGAATCTGAATTTTTCCAGCTTAAAACCATTGCTGCAAGTCCTGTCAAGGCTAGATATTTTTAGCACACTATTACATCCCCTTTATTTATTCCTGTTTTCTATTTATACCAACCTCAGTAATATCCCTCCTAATTCTACACTTTCTAGAGAGTGCAGATTCAGGGCCTCAGTCTATCCTCATAGAGAAGATTTCTGATGCATGGGATCAACTTTGCCATCCACCTTTGTATGTTTTCCAGTGTATTTGTATCCATTCTGTAATATGGTGACCAGAACTGTGCAGCATAATCTAACTGAGGCCTAACCAAGGGTATTACCTGGAGTTTACTTGGAGAGAGTTTCGGGGGTCAACGCCCCTGCGGCCCGGTCTGTGACCAGGCCTCCTGGTGGATCAGCGCCTGATCAACCAGTCTGTGCTGTGGTGCACGCAAACCAACGTACGAGCCACAGCCCGGCTGATCAGGAACTGACTTACAGTTGAAGAACAACCTGAGGACTTCTATTATTTATACTTCTTGCTATGAAGCCAAGGATTCTGTTAGCTTTATTGCAAACACTTATGCACTGTTGTCTTGGTTTTAGATTATTGCTAACCAAAACTCCTAAATCCTTTTCACAATCTGTAATATTAAGATTCCCCCAACAAACACAGAATACAACCTCGTTCATATTTGCTAATATACAGGGCTTTAAACCATCCACCAACAACAAAATACCTTTTATCAGTGGACTTCTAGAGGAGTCTAATGCAATGTTTGCAGCCTTCACAGAGACTCACACAAAAGATCACTTTGACAGTGAAATATGGATACGTGGTTACAACCTTTTTAGAGCGTCAGATAAGAACAGGCAACAAGGCGGGGGGGGTTGGCCTGTATGTCAAAGGAGTTTCCTCACCTGCACGGAGTTGCTGACAACACCATAAATGATGTAGTTGAAGTTTATCAATAAAGATCGAGAAACCAAAAACCTAGTCATCGTGTGGATGGATATAAGCCACAGATGTAACCTCCCCAAAGTTCAAGGAACAGCTACTGAAAATTGATTACTGTCTGGAAAATCTTCCAGCTCCCATCCCCAAAACATCTTACTGCTTGGTGATTTCAACTAAGGCATACAAAATGGAAGAATGTAGCAAACATATGGTCATAGCTGCAACAGTCCCCGGGGTAGCGCAGATGAAAGGTCCCAAAAACACGAGCTCTAAGTCTTGCGAAAAAAACACACTTAAGAACAGCAGATAGATGGAGCCAACAAGACTAGAAAACACACTTGACCTTATCTTCACAAATAATGTGGACTGGTAAGGACCCCATAAACAATAATCAAAAACAACTATTTTCGATCACCAATCTAATCAAGTCCAGACTTAAGCATAGGGGTCCTGATCAGCCCAAAATGCATGTACCTTGTGTAGGTGTCTTCACAAAATACAATCTTCAACAACAAGAACATCAACCTGGGACTAGGGTAAACCATGTCTTAAATGAAAAACATGTTGGGAAGATATCTAAATATATGGATCCAAACCAGTGCCTTGAAAGGATCAACTTCCTGGTAGCTGAAGCGCATTTTAGGCATACGTATTTCCCTAAGAAAGAAGAAGAACAGGAGTAAACTGGAGAGCGAAAGACGCTTCCCTTTACAGAAGATGATGAAGATTCAATTGAGCTCCTCAGGAATGCTAGAATTATATGATACACAAAAGGAGGCGCTGACCAGGGAAGTGGAAACTCTCGAACTTAAGTTAAAGGATTCTTACAGGAACCAGGAGAGACAGGAGGAGCTTAAAGCTATTAGTGAAATTGAAAGAAATTTGAAATATTTCTTTTCATATCGCCAAAAAACAAGGCAAAGGCCACATCTAGTAAGGGACACTTACTCAGAAAGGATGGGACCTACACAGATGACAACAAGGAAATGAGTGAATTACTGAAATCCCAGTACGACTCTGTGTTTAGTGAGCCACCTAAATCAGGTCTGAGGAACTGACGATCAATGATTTCTTCATGATGAGCCTCCTCAAAACTTCATAAATGTTTGCAGTTTTCGACATTTACCCTAAACTCCAATAGGTTCTGAAAAGCCATTGGACAAACATGCCATGCTCTCAGCCCCAGGTCCAGACTCGTGAACTCTGTGTTTATTAAGGAAAACTGCAAGAAATCCCTCTCAGTGCCCTATGTACACTATGGAGAAGGAGCTTGGACTGGGTGAATTTCCACAGTCACTTTAAAACAACGATATAGCTCCACTCATATAGGTGGCAGCAAAGCATTAGCTAAGAAACTATAGGGACCAATAGCTCTAATTGTCCCACTTATAAAAATCTTTTTGAAAGTGTGTTAAGATGCAGGACTGGAAACCACCTGTGTTCCCAAAAACTGTTACAATCCAGAGCAACATGGGTTCTTGGCAGGTTGCTCCGCCCTTCACAACTAATCTGGATCACTATGAATATGGCCTTGGATGCACTGTAAGAAAATCAGAATACAGATTATATACAGGAGACCTTTTCAAAAGCTTTGACAAGTGCGATCAATGGTGTAATAGCACAACAATATACGTGCTAAACGAATAACTGCCAAAGTGGGGCGATGCTCTTCAACTTCCCTACCTAACCAATCGAACACAAAGAGTAGTGGTCAGACCAGAGTTAATTCGGAGGCTGACCATAGTGAAGAGCTCTGTTCACCAGGCACAGTACTCACCTCCATTCCTGTTCTCATTCCTCTTATCAGACATAGACAGAGATATAACCCACAGCACCGTATCATCATTTGCAGATCGATACTAGGATCTGCATGGGCTGTCTCTATTGAGGATGCGGTTAACCTCAAGAAGGATAATAAACAAAGTTTTCTAGTGGGCGGGCAACAGAAAACAATATGATGTCAATAGGACAAATTCCAACTACACAGTATGGAAAACTGAGGATAATAACTATGAACAAAGTATTACTTCAAACTCTGGACCATACAAAAGAGTGGAAAAAATAATGTAAGTGACCTGGGAGTTATAGTTAATGTCTGAGGGGATGTCACTTTCATGGATCACAACAGTGTCACGGATCACAAGGTGCAAAGAAAATGATAGGATAGGTTAATGAGAAACGTTCAAAACGAGAGCATGCCAAGCCGATGATGATCCTTTTCAAAATGCTTGCTCTCTCTAGGCTGAATACTGCTGATACATTAACATCCCCATTCAAGCGGGGAAATTGTGATCTAGAGAGTGTACAGGGAACCTTTATTGACGTATAATTCTGTCAAGCACCTTAACTACTGGGAAACGCTTGATTAGAGAAGCACTTGACTTGTACCCATTGGAATGCAGGAGAGTGAGATATATCATAATCTATACTTGGAAAATCCTGGAAGTAATGGTCCCGAATCTGCACACAGAAATCACTTCCCTACGTGAAAGTAAGACTGGCAGGCGATGCAAATACCCCAATTAAAAGTTAGAGAGGGCACCATTGGTACACTAAGAAGAAAAACATCATAAGTGTCGGGGCCCAAGACTGTTCATAACAGCCTCCACCAAAGCATAAGGGGAATTACCAATAAAACCCCTGGCTGCCTTCAAGAGAGAGCTGGACAGATCACATAAAAGGTCAGTGCGGGATTAGCTGGGCTGTGGTTGTACTTGACCGCATGCGGCCAGCAGTAACAGCCTGGTTGATTCAGGCCCTGATCCATGGGAGGCATGGTTGTGGAATGGCCACAGGGGCCGTTGATCCCCGGAACAACCTTAAGTAGACTCAGGGGGTATTACTCCTTTCCAACATTTAGAACTTTGCATTTGTCTATAATATACTGCATCATGCCACTTCTCCGACCATTGCATCCAGTCTATTTCAAATCATCCTGGAGTGCTTAATGTCCTCATTAGAATGAATGCTCGCCCTATTTTTGGTGTCATCAGCAAATATTGCTTATGTCGCGCTATTTATTCCCTATCTGTGTCGTATATGTTAAATTCGTGAGCAACAAGGG